AGAGAGCCAGAGCCTCTTTCTTTAGCCAATAATCCTTGCGTTAGAACCCCGACTGACTGCTGGTGGCATACAGCCTATCACACAAGTCTACGAGTCCAAGAAGAATAGCAGGTCAAAAACTCAGCTTTGAGACCACAAGGCTGTCAAGGCACTTCTGCTTCCACTCCTTTAAGTTTTCCCTGGGTCTGAGGTTTGTTTTTTTAAAACATCTTCCACCCTCACTAGATGTCCAGCTAGCCATCTGCATTCAGTTATTTTATCTTTCTCCTCGATTCTGCGTACTGCTTAGGCTCTTGGACTCAAAATACAAAAAGCTCCAGTCACATTCTCATGTTCTTTATGGTCTGTGCAGCCTAAACAATGCAGTTTTCCTGGGGATAAATTCTCTAGCTTCATATATCTTCAGTTATTAAAGGCATGCAAGCAGATTTGAGACTTGCCTGGGGGCACGCTGGCTACATGAAGCAAGGTCCTAAATATTGTTCAAATATTTCAAAATTTTAAGTTTACACAATTTTAAATTCATCTCTCTGGGACTTTCTAAAAAGTAACACATTCTACTAAAAATACTTAAGCATTCTCCTGTGATGAGAAAGCAAAGATGATCCTTTCCCAGATCTTTAATTGCAAACAGAGCCTTGAAAAATAACCACTTATGTTACTGACTGCTCTATCTATAAAGAACTCTAGCTTCAATTCTTCCATGGCAGCCTAACTTGAATCTGTGCTTCAAAAAAGCTTTCACTTTTGGGAGTAAGCTGAGTATTACTTGAATATCAGTCTTAAAAGAGAGGAAGAAAGTTCTGGCTGTGAGCAAACCTCACTCTTCTGGTGAGTCTGCTTGTCCATTTTGTGAGCCAGTTCTGTAAGGATGATTCTCCATCCCCACTTTATGCCAGACATCTGATTTTTCTGAGTCAGCTGGATTTTTCATCTAATTTATATTATATACACACAGGCAAACATCCAAATTAAACACTCAGCAGGCAATTTGTACTTGCAAAAGGAACCTGCTTAACTTCTACCAACATCGATACATACCAACTTCCATACTCAAGACAAAGCCATCAAGACAATCCCGTCACAGACCCCTTATTTGCTTCACATGACCCACAAGCACAATAAAACCAACTTCCACCTCTCCCAGAGATGCACCCCTCTAAGATATGTCAGTGAAGCTGTCTCATAAAAAAAAAAACCAACAAACAAACAAAAAAAAAACACGAAAAGGATTCTTGAGGCTGTGATCAGAGATATCGCTGACCTACCCTGTTACGCCTGCTTCCAAGGTGTCCTAGGAAGAGATCCTCCACAACAGCACTACCTGAAAGGTGATGCCTTCTTTGGGGTTTCTCTTGGAAAGAGCACAGCTAGAAGTACACGCAGCCTGACTTACTGTACAACTTAAGAGAAAGAAGCAGGAGGACAATTCTCTCAGATTGTTCTGATCTTTCAGTATAAGCTGTTTAGCCGCTCAGAGGCAAGCTTCCTTACTTCATGCCACTCTGATTTCCATGAACCAGAACAAGATCTCACTCTTAACTGATACAAGAAACATTTTCATCCAGAAAATACCCTTAATAGTATCCTTTCGGCAAGTGATGAGAACAGATGCGATTTGCAGCTGACTTCCATGAGAAGCACAGTACATCAACAGCAGCAGCTCCTGGACAATGTGAGGCAGTAAGGAGGTGAGACAGTATTTATGCTACACAGTTAAAATCTGTATTAATGTTACAAGTCCTATCACTTAGCATATCCTTATGACGACTCCATGTAAGAGCAGTGTAATCACCTCTAGCACTCCTCTTGTGGGAACTGCTTTACAGTTTGGACTTGGCTGACAGGTAGGTGCTCCAACGCTTCAGATACCCCAGTTTCCAGAGGAGCTACATGGAAAACTATTCTAATTTAAATTAGTTGTCCTTCAAAAGGTATGTGCCTACACTAAGCTCTTTCTGTAGATTTAGAAGTCCTCTTGTACATTTTGACAGGCTCAAAGTAGTCTATTTACAAATACCAACTAATGGAATTCTAACCAGAGCATTCCATGCCAAGGCACATTACCAGCACCGTTCATGGCTTCTTTCGCCCTGGACTTCTGGAGTCCTATGATTGACAAGGTCTCTAATGAACTCTAATTGAAGACTCGGCAGCCTGAAAAACGCAACAACAGATGTGGTAAAAGGGCAAACCACAAACTGTTTTGCTAATGAATGAAAAGTGTCTGGTCTGATGAGGGCCAGTGACCCAAAAATTCTCTTCTTCCATCCACCCTTTTACTTCATGTTCAAGTTTGGACCCTTTCCCTTGTCAGCCCAACACATGGGGGCAGCAATGTACAGCCTTGAACACATTGCACAGACTCATATTGGCACCAAGATGCTCTTTTATTAAAAAGCAGCAGCAGAGCATGGCTTTGATGGAGTAAGAGGGACCTCAGGGAGGGAACTTAGTGCCGTTATCCTTCCCAGTAGGAATACAAGCTGAGGAAGCCACTGTCAGTTCCTCACTAGAGTAGTTTTGGAAACGTTTTTGCATACAAAGACATTTCTAAGTCATCTTTATTTCCTTTCAATGGATCTTAAGCAAGCATCAAAACAGTAGCTACACTCATCAGCCTGTAGATCAATTCCTATGGAAAAACTCTGGAAAGTTGAGCTGCAAGCAAACTTCAAGTAACAGCTTCACAACCAAAAAAAAATTATGTGGGTCTCTGCTTCATGTCTACTCCAGCATGGCAGCATAATGAAGCAAGGAAACCAAGCACAAAGGGAGCAGAAGTCAGGGTGCCATCTTTTATAATTCTAACACAAGTTTAATGAACCTCCTCACGCTCGTCATGCTTTTGGAGTCTGACCTTTTACTTCAAGGAGATTATTGTCTGGTAATGGTACAGGAAACAGAATAAAAACGTCAGCTGTAAAAGTTTGGATGAAACTTGCCAAAAAAGGTCAAAAAGCTATTTGCCTGAGTCTGGCTTATGATGTTTTTGGAACTATTACAGGTGGCAGTGTATACGCTGCTCTTGTCTAGCCAGAGTGTAGACTTGAGTCTTGCAGCCGTCAGGCTGAGAGTGGGCTGCAGAAGAGGTCTACAGATGTCTCAACAAGAAAGAAATCATACTGGATTTAACAAATTATTTCATCTCCACCGCAGAGAAGGCACTGCAGTGACTAGTGGAGGAATCACACAGACCTTCCTTCTAACAAGCATCAGTCAAACTGGTCTGTTTCATGTTACACTTGCAATATGAAAAGAAGCCCAGTGAGCGTGTTGCTGATGGAAAGCATGTAGAGCACTAATGAGCACCATCCAAAAGCAATTCCAACATTTAGAGGTAACCAGCAATTTTCTGAGTCATTAAAAAACCTCATACCAATTATACAGTCAAACTTACCATAGCTCCCTAAACAACTCATTGTTTTGAATGGTCCTTGGAGCTGCTCAAACCCTGATATCTATTCAGTCCTCCAAATTTCATCAAAAAACCAACCGTGTCACACCAGATCGTATCAATAATTAAGTTATTCTGTGTCCTACCTCCAGCAACAGCCACAAAAATGATGCTTTAGGTCACCAAGAGTTTTGGTGGCACAGATGTAGCCAATTACTAAATGGTTTCAAGAAAGAGAAATAATCCCTTCCTGCAGGGAGTAATTCCTTTCCTGACCCACAGAGCTTTCTTACCTGTACCTTGGCTTATGTTACTAAAAGCAGTATTTACAGTTTGATTAAATTTAAAGTCAGCCACAGCTTTTTGACCATGGGACTCCTCCAAAGTTTGCTAACACCAGCTTCAATACCACTTAGGAACTAAACTTTTACTTAGCAAGCAGCTGCTCTTCTGCACACAAAGATGACAAACAGCTCGGACACAATTTAAACAGTTTAAGAGGTACTAGTTCAAATAGCTGCTCTGTGCAGAACCATCAGGTTTTTAGGGTCTCTCAAGACAAGGTTTCTCAACATCATGCATAAAATTCAGACCCGCCACAGAAAAGGGATGTACTTCTCACTACAGATAAGATGAAAGGCTTAACTGAAAGGTCTAACAGCCCTGTTCCAGCCTCAATGTGCTCTGTCTGCAAAAAATATAGAAGCTTAGGTCAGAAATAAGCCATATATTTAGACTGGACAATAGAAACAAACTTTCCCAGTTGCCCATATGGTAGGTTCTATATCAATTAAATCCATATTTCATTAATACTTTAAGTTACTCCAGAGGCAAGTGTGCCACACGCAGTTTTCAGGGACGGTTGACACTAGCCTATCATAGCCCAACTGTGCATCACAGGATGTGCAACTAATTCCTGTGCAACTAATTCCTATGCAACTAATTATGAGCCTATGCATCCTTCTCAAGTTAGTTTTCTTCATTAGCAGCTTATAGAAGGAAAACAAATGTTCTGGGGCAAGCAGAAAACAGGTATCGGGCACAAGATGTTTGGCCAGGTTTTTTTTTTTTTGGATTGTCAATGGACTGCAGAATACCTGATACAGCATAAATTATAAATCGGTTTGGGTGTTCTCCAGAGACCCAGTGTTCTGACATATTCTGTCTCAGTAACGTCTCTGAAGCGTGTGCACATTGACTGCACCTACCGCATAAGTCCTGTGTCAAACTACAAACAGGCAGGTGGTTTATCAGGAGACAATACACACATACAAGGGCATGCATCAACCTTGTGTAAACTGTTCCAAATGACTTTTACTAAACAGCAGCCTCCAAACCGGTGATGACTTCATCAAGAAAGCTGCTAATGACCATTCAAAAAGAGTGTCTGTGCATAAACAATAGTACCTGTTGGCTTGCCCAAAATAAACATGTAGATTCCTGACATTGTTTGGGCAATTGCTGTATTCTTCAACCTCACCAGAAGACAAGGAGAGAAACAAATCACCACACCTCCGAGATGCTTCAGGAAGTATTCTCACATACCAGATCTTCCTTAAACCCAGGACTCAGCTATTACTTGGTCAGAGCACCCAATACTCACCAAGTCAATGAGGTCACTGAGATTCTTCTCTATCTGCTGTGGAGGCAAACGCCTCATCAAATCCAAGGCACAATCCAGCTGCTGGTCACTCTGCAGAAACAAGAACATCCTTCTGTCACGATACGTACAGGTAATACATCATATTCACACACACAAGAACTGCAGCGCTTGCTGACTCCTCTGATACGAGAGATACAGTTCCTAGTTCTAAGCAGCAGCATGTTTTGTATTAATACAAATAGATTTCAATAAATTTCAGTATCATTTAATGGCGTTCTAGACTACAGATTTAAAAGCGCATCTTTAACTGGTGTCACACCCCCATTTTACCACCATGCTGTTGATGGAAAGGAGTCCCAGTCCCTACCTCACCAAAAACTGTTTCCAATGTTTGTGCAAAAGTGTAATGCATTGTTTTTCCATGCTATCTCAATAATAATCTGGATTAGGGAAATGAAAGTTCCTTCTCCCAAAGACTTTTTAACACTTCCTCATTTGTGTTGTGCCATTCAGCTTGAGATAATGAGGATCCAAGACAAATTCTGTTCTAACATGGAGCATGCTCTCCCTCCTTCAGCTTTATCAAAAAAAAAAAAAAAAAAAAGAATGAACCATGCAAAGTACAATGCATTATTTCATTTTTGCTACAAAAACATACACCAAAAGCTGCCTGTATCTGAGAAATCAGGGACTTGGTTATTTCAAGAAAACACAGCAACATACTCCAAAGGGCTTATTGCAGCCAGTCTCACATCCAATTCTGACACAAAAACAACCCTTAAACTCCACTTCAGAGTCAGAAAACATGCAACAGACATTACCACAGACACTTGATGAGTTGACCCATGTTCCTGACATAACCTTTAGCTCTCCTTCTTGCCAACAGATATAAACAGATACTCTCCTGCAAGCCTAAGAGTACCCAAAATCTGCACGAGATACTTTGATCACCAGGTCACCAGGCAGCTGAAGCATAGCTAGTTTGTTTTCACTGCTTCTTCCCCTCCCTTTTTTCTTTGCTATTTCTAGCCACCCACATACAATGAGCTTAGCTTTAATTTCTCCCTCCTGTGCTCTGCCAAGCTCCAAAACTTTTATTTAAGAAAGGCTTCAAAACTAAAGCAGTTACATTATCACATTATTCAAGTAGCAGCCCCCAGGTCAGGGAGAAACAGGAAGCGAAGTTTCCTGCAATTAAGCTATACCCTAGCAATGAGGAAAGGACAGAGCTCTCAGTTTAGTGAACATCCATTACAAAAGCTGTTCTTTATAGGTACTACCCCTTCACTATCAAAAGAGAAACATTTTACTGCCAGCAACTCAAGACAGCCTGGTCTGGGGAGATTATGTATTTATTTCTCATCCAGTTCAGATTGTAGGACAATCTTTGTAAAATATTCCAGCTCTACAGACAGTGAGGCATCAGCTCCCATATACCTGCAATAGTCTCCTGAAGATCTGAGTCTTCAACCTGAAAAGCAGGACACACTGACACCGAGAACAGAAGTTTACGGCAGTCACTTGTTGTCATTGAAAGAAGACGCATTCAAGTAATGTACATACCCCCCCCATACTCTTTAAATACTCATATAACATGACAAGCAAATCCTTGGCTGAAATGAATCTGAAATTATTTATCTTGGAAAGCAACCACAAATCAATCTCTGAACAGGCTCTCATCACATTCATGCACAAAAGTGATGGCCAAGATTTTCAGAACTTTTTATTTATCTTCATTAGATGCTCACGGGAAGCAAAAACTACTCTACTTTTTGCTGCTAACCTTTCAGGCCCCAGAGAAAGATATTATTTAGATGGCCGACGCCTGCCCAGCTCCAGAGCCAAGCTCAGGCAGGGGATCTTTCTTACCAAGTATTGTCTTTACCTCCCACTATCTCTTACGTCAAGAAAGGAAAGCTGGCACACCGTCACAAGGTCATGCTCCTCACTTGGGGATCGTGGGAACACTTACGGAGTTAAGAACCACCACTAAAGCCCGCAACCCCAGAATAAGTGTTTTACAGCGCAACAATTTTGAAATAAACTACACTGGATGAAGGAGTACCTACATTTGCAGTGTTTTATGGATTAACCAGAAGAACTTGGACTCATCATTTTTACAACAATATATTCAAGAACAGCTGTAGAAAGACACGAGCAAGACTCTCTAAGTCAGAAATTCTTAAAGGAGTGCAGACATGGCTGGCATATGTGGCTCTGTGCAATGGAAAAACAAAAATATCCAAGCACATACTAACAGTGTATTTTTCTGGTATCAAAGAGGTAAAAGCAAGGCTGAGCACCAGGACTCTTCGGTTTTCTTGCACAGCATTTAAGTAATTAAATGGCTTGCCAGAAGATCTCTTAAAGCACTGAAATAAAGACAGGTTCTGCTGTATTTCTGTCTCTAAATCTGTGGGTATATGGTCACTTTCATCCAGCGTAAATCGTGCTGGCAGTTAAAAGGGCAACGCAAAGCACACAGATTACAGAGCAGAGCGCTACCTTCGGGTACTGGGTACATCTGGTGCCTCCTATTCCACAACCGAACAGGTAATTCTACCAGTATCTTTTGTTTCTGGTTCTGTCACTGTAGGTGAAGTGAGGTTTTAAAAAACAGGTCTGTGGTCAAATGCATCCTTTGGTTCCAGACCTCTGCCCCAGCTGGAGTTTCTAGAGTAGCTGTAGGTACTTACATACAAAGAGATAGGAATCACATCCAAGGTACCAAAACCAGCAGCACATGGTTCCCTGATTTTACAGAAGAGTGAATGCTCCCAGGGATGTAATCCTACTGCAGTTTTGACAGCAGCATATTATTAAGAGGCACTGAAAAATCCCACAAAGCCTTCACAGCACCTTTGTAAGAGGAAGGTGTTCTTTGGAAACTCGGCATGTGTGTCACCTACCTCACTACAATTGACCCAACCTACCTTTCTCTTCTGGATTTTCATTTGCTTAATTCTCTTATAAGACTACATACTGAAGATGTGGTTGCTTAACAGATCTCCAGACAAAACATTTTTTACAGAATTCTTGCCTCTAGACATGAAGAGGCTTATAAACCTCTGCTCACTGAGACGGCGATTAGACAGGCCGTCTCCCAGTCTGGGCTGCTCTCGAAGCCAAGCTCTTTGAGGTTGCAGGACTTAATGAGCTTAGTGTTTACTTGATGTTTTCCACCATTCCTCTGTTTCATCCAGCACAGAGCTCCTGTGGAGGAGTAGGGAGTTCAGACAGAAATTCTAAATGAAGTTTTATTACAGCTCAACTCACTGAAGGATTTAGAGATCATAGGAATCTCAGACTGAAAATATTAGCTTAGATGAAAGCTCCTTAATAACTTTCCTCTAAAGATGTTTGGCTATCTAGAATCTCCATTTAAGCATCTGCTATAGTGTTCCCATGGTACTACCACAGGGAAAAATGTTATGAATATGTCTATAGGAGTAGTTATGTTTGTTTAGCTTCCTTTGCCTGCATCTGCTCTGCTCTTCAGTCTCTCCACTGTTCTTAGCGTATTTCCAAAAGAAAAACCCTCTCAGAACAGCCACAGGTATCTGGTCATCTAGGCACTCTGTGATGAGGCTCAAATAGACACAAATACTGCTGGATAAAAGGCAGTTGTATAAATGTGCAGTTGCACAGAGGCCCAGTAGTATACTTTTAATTCCATTCATACTGTAAGCAATATTGTTCAAAGGCTGAGTATGGGCAGATGTCATTCAATGCAGAACACGTATAAAAACCCCAGGAAGTTTGGTTTTGTTCAGGCATTTTGAGAAGGTGTGTTTGTGTAATAAAACAATGTGTTTCCGTTTTCAATACTTGAAACAAGGGTGTGGTCATTGTTATTCATTTTAAGAGCAAGGGAGTCTTCTGACCTAATATTTGTATGCAGTTACCATGAAAGAGGGTCCAAAACTTCAAAAATTAAAACTCCCACTCATCACGTCCCCTAAACCACACAGCTCCTTAGGATAAGAAGGGACAGGGCACAGGAATAGCTGGCACTTGTTAATGGTGCCCAGCCAGGATACCGTGCACCGATAACATCAGGCAACAGGAGCCAACCCAAGATTATGCAAACTTGCAAGCAAATAAACCACTTCTCACGCAACTGTTCCAGTTCATGGCACCCAGATACGCTCTGCCAGACTAAGGGAACCATACCGCATTTGCATTATATTTGGCACAGAATTGTCACCTGATAAGTGTGTACCCAAAGCTTTCCAAATATCAGTGTCACTGGCAGAACTGATAACACTCCACAGAAGCTACGCTTGTTTTCTCTTTTCAATAGACACTAGCAATCTGACGAGTTACCACCTACAAGTATTTTGCACTTCTCTCTTTAAATATCTTTACAAATGCATTTCACTGTATACACTTACAGAAATTCACAGGCTTTATTCACAAGTTTTGACAACTCTCTGTCGCTGGTTACCCGAGACTTAACTTACACTCTGGGTTTTCAGAGGGTTTACACAAACCTGCAGCTCTACCCATTTCAAAGGCTAAACCATTCTACTTGAAAGAAGGTAAAGGATTTCATTTAAAGCTCCCAGCCTTACAGTCAGCAGAAATTTGCTTCTATTTATCACAAAGACCTGTAGATTTAATTCCCCGGTCTTCACAGCTTTGTTCCTGATAGCTCCTGCTCGTTTGCCTATGTTATTGCTGAGCATAAACAGAGTTAGGCAGCTTCTTCAAAAAGAAAAACCAGGCTGGTTTCACTTCTGTATTGTATTTCTATATTACACTACCCGGAGCAGACTCCCGAACCAAGAGAAACCAGCTGAGATAGTTCAGTGCTACCGCAGTGGTAGCTTCTCCCTCTTTTAGACCTTTCTGGGACATAAGCCACTTGGGCCACCAAACCTTTCCCGCCAGCAAGCCAAATGTAACACTTCTATTCAAGGCATGATTGGGCTACCTACCCCCTTTCCCATCTGTGATGCCAGCTGAGGAAAAACTGGGTGACTTAAAAAATCCCTTCAGTCGTTAGGATTAAGGTAAAAAAGCCAAACATGTGTAAGTAAGAGCATCCATGATTTGGCCCATGCTTGACCCTGAAATGCCACGGCTGTTAGGCCCCTGCAGCTAGG